GAGGATGGCAACACTCGATACCGTTAAGCTATAAACTACGCTTTCATTTAATTATATCAAGTTTTAAGAATATAACTACGCTTTCAAAGACAAAATGAGATATTGACATTAAATAGAAGTCGTTGACTAAACATTGCAATCGAACTTAATCCCTATATGACAAATGGCGCTTCCTGTTTATAACTATTTTGGGATAATTTATATTTGCTTTTAACAAGCCACTATAAAAAAAATGGTATTTTACTATTACACATTTTTAATTAAGACAAAAACGTAAACATGGCCTCTCTACTGTGGTACTTCAAAATGATATTTTGATCAAAAAAATATATAGAATAATATCAGTCGTCCAAAATTTTCATTTGTATTTTTGTTAGTAATCAAACTTAATCGCAATATGACAAATGTCACTTCCTTGTTATAAATATTTCCCGATTAATTTATATTTGCTTTTAACAAGTCATTATAAATAAAATGATATTCTACTATTATTCATATTTAATTAAAGATAAAACTTAAACATAGTCTATGTTGAAAGGATAATGACTTAAAAGGGTAATATATTTTTCGATTTTTAACATTTGATCATTGAATTTTCTTTTTCGTCCACATTTACCTCTTGAACTTGTTAAATTATATATATTTAGTCCTTATGACTGGGTACTCAAAGTTAGTCGGTAAAAATGAATTAATAGAGTAATATATCTATCACTTTGTACACATTTAGTCTTTAATATTTTTGTACACATTTAGTTCTTAATATTTTTTTTGTTGCAAAATAAGACATTTTTTATTTTGTACTCATTCAGTACTCATGAATAATTTCTTTAGATTTTTCTCACGACATCTTACGTGTGACAATCATTAATGAGATGTTTCTGGCTTTTGATACTTATGTTCATCGCGATCTCGACTACTTGATTCTCAGGTCATGTGTTCTAAACGTCATAACTTCTTCATGCGATTCAGATTTTAAGGAGATTGATATCTATGTATTCGTATTTTAATCTACTACAAATTTTGTTTAGATTACTCCTGTTAAAAAGTAATACATTTTTACTTACTATCTCACATCTAGTTACTTATGGTTACACAGTCATTGGATTGTTGGTTATGTATCCATGTATATATGATGTTGCTGAGTCGTAGCGATCTACTAGATTTATGTATATATCCTTGTATGATATGATGCAACAATAGGAGTATGTTGGTTAGAGTACCAGTAGGTTGGTTATCCTTGTATGATATAATGTAACAATAAGAGTATGTTGGTTAGAGTACCAGTAGGTTGGTTGTCGTCTAGTGGAGTGTCATAGGGGTTGTATATAGTCATGTAGGATAGCCTGGGAACTTTTGATCTAGGCTTTCTTGCATGTTCGTTTTTTGGTTGTGGATCTAAACTAGGATCATATATTTGGGTGGCTATCTCACCTTTGGTTACAAATTTCATAGAGGTTAGTTGGTAGCGGAGCAGTGTGTTGTGAGAGGACTAATAGGTGATAGTGAGATGTATGATTGATAACTGTTAGTATTATGTGCCTACTTGATCCTTGATTATTTATATGTCGACATATGGTAGTGGAATAGGCTAAGACGGTCCTGATATGTGTTGTAGGCCAAGATACCTGGTGTGAGCTGACTGTAAGTAGTAGGCACGAAGGCTCAAAAAGACCGATTGGGTTGAGGCGGCATGCCAACAAACCCTAGGTATTCCAATCCAATGAGTGATTGGACTCGTTGCATGTCGGCATTCCAGTCTGATGACTGATTGGGCTAGGGTATTCCAATCTGATGATTGTGGGGCCGTTATACATGATAGTACATTTGTTGTATTGGGTATTTTGGGGGAAACTCACTAAGCTTTGTTCTTACCCAGTTGTTTATGTTTTTAGATTCTATCGTTGATCGTGGGAATGCGAAAGCAGGACTGTACATACTCATCAGCAGTATTGAGGATTCCCCATGTTATATTACTATAATTTTCGATAAATGTATTTTGGAATAAATGGTTTATCTTAATAATGAATTTATAATTAGGGAGTTTTGCCTTATTTAAAAATGGAAACTTTTTGTTGTGAAAATGGGACGTTACACATAAGCATCAACAGCCCCACACCTCTCATCAATGATTGTCACACGTAATATGTCGTGAGAAAAAACTAAAGAAATTATTCATAAGCACTAAATGAGTACAAAAATAAAAAGAAATTATTTTGAAATAAAAAAATATTAAGGACTAAATGTGTACAAAAATATTAAGGATTAAATGTGTACAAAATGAGAAATATATTATCCTATTAAGTCATTCTTCCCAGCTAACCTGTAGTAAACGATTATAAGGACTAAATGTGTTCAGTTTACCAAGTTCAAGAGGTAAATGTGGATGAAAAAAAAAAACTCAATGACCAAATATGTACAAATCGAAAAATATATTACCCTTTTAAATCATTATCCCTTGTTAAAAATTTTCACTTTGGTCGAAAAATATTTGTAGTATTAATGGTCCAAAACTTTCATTTTGTTGTAGTTTTGTTCCAAATTTTTAAAACTTTTTTATATTGACGATTTTACCTTTATTTTTACTAGTTTTTTTATTTAAATATTTTTTAAATAAAAGAAAATTAATAAATAAATATATATATGTATATATATATATATATATATATATATATATATATATATATATATATATATATATATATATACCTCTCTCCGGAAGCCAACGTATTGTCAGAACGCCACCTTCATCAGAGCCTCTCGCCTAAGCGGCAACCTCACCAGACTCTCTATGTCTCATCAAAAAAAATAGATGACGTTTTCTTTAGATAAGGAGCGAGGATTTTTGACAACGTCCCTCTCTCTCTCTTTCTCTCTCACTCGCTCACTCGCTCTCTCTCATATCTATGTCGTCGGAGGTAGGCTCATAGTTCAATATAGAAGGAGACGGTGCTACAAACCCTAGCTCTTCAGAGTTGGAATCATCTTCTCCAATAGTGAGTGGAGGCACTACAAACTCTAGCTCTACAAAGCCATAGATTACCTCCATGACAGGTGGGGAGCCGGATCTGCAAATGGTGGTGTTTCAAAAGGCGACTGCACCTTCATAGTGTCGATCTTATACCCCCAACATCTTCATTTTCCCAACGAAGAAAGAGAGACGAAGGCATTGGCGACTTCATCTTTGTTTCACTTCTCTTCCAATCACCTTTGTACATATACCCATAAGATGTTTGAGCTACGATTTTAGGGATGGAAACAGCAACAGTAACGGTTGATTTCGGAGACGATGATACCAATGGTTCCAAAATGATTTTTAAATGGATATCTCTTTAATCCATTTACTTTAAAGAAAAAATTCAAGAAATAAACCTTACAAGCAGCATTACGAGGTGAATCTCTCAGTTTCTTGGGTCGGATTTCCTTCTAATCGAAAAAACAGAATACTAGGGTAGGGAGGAACAGTGGTGAAAAAGATGAAAACTCTGAAACTGAAAATCAAGAGAGGGAGAGAGAGAAAAGAACAGAGAGAGAGAGAGAGAAAGAGAGCGAGAGAGAGAGAGAGAGAGAGAGAGAGAGAGAGCAAGAGAGAGGGAAAGAGAGAGAGAGAGAGAGAGAGAGAGAGAAAAGAGAGGGAAGGATAGAGGGAGAGAGGTCTTTCATATTTGTTTTATTTTTAATTATTTTTTACTTGTTGATAATAAAAGAAAATTGGAAAATTAAATAAAAATGGGAAAATCGTCTTTATATAAAAGTTCAAACGAAATTGAATCAAACTTGCAACAAAATAATAATAATAATAATAATAATAATAATAATAATAATAATAATAATAATAATAATAATAATAATAATAATAAATTGGACCTCTAGTGCTAGTTCAAACTTTTTTGGACCAAAGTTGTAACACCCCAAAAACATAGGTAAATTTTTGAATTTAAAAATCGTCAATCCACACAATTGGTTTCATGAAATCCATCACAATACAGTATATCAAAATCATCAGAGTAAAATAGAAATCAATGTGGAATCACAAGGGAGATGCGGTACAATCATGTCGAGCTCTTCCCTTTCGTTCCAACCCAACATACAATCATGGGCCTAGCTCTGGGGTGTATTTCAACCCAAACATGCAATAACTGGCCCAACCCTGGGGTAGCTTTCAACCCATTACATATCAATGGACCCATCCATGCGTTATCTATCAACCTAATACATTCAAAAGTCACAAAGACAAATAGCATTCATGTAACAAAATCTAGGGGGTCGGCATTGGTGTCTTCGACCCATAAGTACAATGAAGAGACTCAAATGTCTCATGAAAACAATTAACCACACAGCTACTGCTACACGAACGGCAATGAGACACACCTATTAAATCCAATACAACCCACCTTAATCACCAAAACTAGCTAATTTTGACCAAAGTCAACCCAGGTCAACAAGTCAACACACAAAATCAAATTAAACGGCCAATAACTCTAATATTCAGTCTCACATCGTGACCAACCCTTGGTCATGTCGTGAGAGCTCACTCGATCCAATTCCACTAACTCGTTCTAGCTCGGCCAACTCAGACATTGACAACCAATTCAGTATATATCATGATGTGATCCATTCTTGGTCACATCGTAAGAATACAAAAGACCACCGAAAGGGATATTTCTTGGTCCTGTCATGAAACCTCCAGTTTCGCATCGTGATTTCAGTCTGAACCATCTCCTTAATGATTTAAGCCCTTAAACCATTAGGTCTCTAAACCTAACTTATCTAGAAGCTTAAGGGGAATCCAAAGGGCCATAAAAATGTTTACTTTATGGATACGCATGCTCCATGCATGTCCTCAATCCATTCTAGGTCAAAGTAGAAATATGGCACCAAACTCTCATGCATAACTCCAATACTTCACCAACTTCTAGATTTGGATTATATGATGCTCAAAGGAACCTTAAAATCCATAAAGTTGCTAACTTTATGGACTATCTCTACTCAAGCTTGCTTAATCATGAAGAAATAATACAAAATTTTGGATCTAGATGTATAATGCAATAAAGGTTGAGCCTTTGACACTTACAAAGGTTCAAAAGAAAAAAGAGATGATGATGATGTTGATGATGATGCTTCTTTGTAAATTCCACAACTAGGACACTTCTTTCCTTCTTCTCTTCTTCTTCATGCTAGCAAATGTACCAAAAATGGATAAGAATCACTAAAAGGGTTATGATTAGGGTGAGGATGAGCAACCCTCCCCTCCTTATTCCATTAAATAGCAAAAAAAAAAAAAAAAATAGGGTTTTTGGCCATCAGATGTTCCTCACAACATTAGTAATAATGACTCATGTTGTGACACCTTAAGAAATGTGTATTCACAAGCCAAAGCTTCCTCACGATGTGACTGTCATTACTCGCATCGTGACCCACTTCCAAATGTAAAATACTTCAAATTTAGTACCTCGAAGATCCAAATGTTACAAAAGTGGCAATTTTAAGCAAACTACAACGACCATTCGTTCAGTTTTGTCTTCAATTACACTCATTTGAACTCATTTTTTTAAAGATACTTATATGTCACAAGCAAAAGGTGAGACTTTGTACACTGGTAGGGTGGAGGAAATCATTCCCTTTCAACCTTATTGTGACATAGATGTTACATCAATTTTTTTTAATCTTTTCTCGCATCCATCTTTCTCAGTCGGTTGAAATAGAGGATGTAATAATAATTTGAGGGGTACACAAATAATGGGTACAAAAATTGTCACAAAAGAATAATACAATGATAGTTCGAATGAAAAAATAACAAAGTGATAGTCCAAATGAGAAAAATAACATAGTTGATGCGTACATTCTACAATGGGTTATTAATGTCCTCATTTTTTCACTCAGATTTTTCTTTTGATGAGTTGACGATGAAAATAATTTTAGAAAACCAAAAAATTAACTTTGTAAAAAAAAGATAGAAAATGATTATATAGTTATTTCACATATAATGCGGACAAAAATCACAACAAAAAATAACACGTTAGTGGTCCAAACAATTAAAAAAATGAAACACAGTCTCAGTAATATACTCTAAAAATAAAATAATTCTAAGAAAATAATATAAATACTTCATATATAATAGGTACTACAAAAATATAATACAAGGATAGTCCGAAGAAAAAAATAACACACTAATAATCCGAATGAAAAATAACAAAAAAACAGTTTGAGCGAAATCAAATAATAATAATAATAATAATAATAATAATAATAATAATAATAATAATAATAATAATAATAATAATAATAATAATAATAATACATAACAAAAAACATCAACTCATAAGGTGTACTAAACAATTTGGGAAGCAGAGGTGCATGAAGAATTCCCCTTTAATAAACATTTAATCAATTATTCAACTACAATAATTTTATTATTATAAGTAAAGAATCATTATAAAAACTAGAAAGCTTGGAAAGGTTTCCCGCGCGTTGCGCGGTGCGAAAAGTATTAGTTTTGCGTGTGCGAATGTGTTTCATACATTACTATTATCTAAAGTACATTGCCTGAATGGTATCCGTAATAAAGTACGTTGCTATTCTGTGTAAGTTGCCATCAATCGGATGAAACAGTCCCGTCGTTAGTGGGTAGGAAAACAACCTCAATAGTTCAATACTACCATCTACTTTCTTAGCATACCATAAAGCCCAAAATAAGAAATGCAACAGTAAATCATGGTAGTAGTAAACACGTACACATCAATAATGATATCAAAACAACTAAAACTCTAAAGTGACGTGAGGAGAAAAAATATGGCAAAAAGGAAAAAGTAAAAAACCAAAAACCAAAAACACAATCCAACCATGGCTGTTACAAATTCACATCAACAACTTGAGACTTTTCCTTAGGGATTGTATCAACAAAAGTGTAAAAAAGCTTAGAGTGAGTTTTTTTATGTAGTAAAAAAGCTAATGTTCACATCAAACAACAAAAAAATCAAATCCAATTTTCCCAAACAATCAAAAACATAAAAATTAATAACAAAAGTATGATATTAACGACAAATTACACTAACATATCATTTTACCTCTTTGACCTTTAATATTAAGAAAATCATTTGTACGTTGTGTGACTTTGAACTAAGTCAAAGGACCAATTGTGTAATAATGAAAAGATATTAAAGATTGAAGCTAATAATAGAATCTTGTTCTTACCAACATAGCTAGTCTGATGATTAAAAATGTTGGTGTGATTAATGACTTCACATGTAAAAGCTCTTTGGGAATATATCGGCCACCTAAATCTGTCACAGTGGTTATAAAACAGAATAGAAACAGTAATTATATTTTAAAGATTTTAACCGTTAATTTTTCATTGATTTAACCTGTAAACAGAACGTGGCTGTAAAAAATTTGTAAGTACAAGGTATGACACATGAATTTTAACTTACTTGGATGAACTACTTCACCAATTGCTTCATGGTCGACATAATTGCAATAATAGTCAAATCCATTATAAAAGTAATCCATGAAAACTACAAACACAAACCAGTGGCAATAAATCAAATTTCTCCTTAAGCAAGATTGAACAACCACCACTTCTCCTGAAGAAAGATTAACCAAAATTAAATGAAGAGAGTGAATCTGATATCGGTTTTGAGAAGTTAGAGCAGACAAAATGTGCATTACATGTGTCCTTCAATTTAATACTTTGTATTAGCAAATTAGACTTTTAAAAACCTACGCAATTATAACTATCGAAATTGGTTTGTATTTTGTTGAAATTGCTACAATTTGAAAACTTGCACACAAAACTATTGTCATCTAGACCTTCTACCTTGCAGCTACTGACTTTGCTAATCTTTCTAACTCCATGGTTCCCTATATTTTTCGTAAATATAGCAAATAATCCTTATTTCTCTTCTTTTTTTCAAAGAAATAAGATAAAATGAACAAAGAGAATATGGTTGTATACCATCCAAACTTGTTAAACCTTTATATATTGTTTTCCATAATAATCTGCCCAAGCATTCAGTCAGTAGTTGGATATCATGTCTTCTATGTTCAATACCAAAATTAATTTTCTATTACTGAGCCATCAATCTATCTGATTGTTCACGTAAGCTTAAGAGTATAAGGACTTAAATCAACATAAATGAAAGAACAAGGATATGAATTAACATAAAGAAGATTATAGAGAGTGAGTTGTGAGCATTAGGATCCTACCATCTTGTACTTTAATTCCATCCCTCACGTATGGTTAGCAAGGGTAAAGTTGTCCATTGTCCCTATATCATCCCTTCTGGACATGCACTTGTGATCAAACCTCCCATAAGCATTCTAACTATATGGATAAAAAAGCAAGTAAAGCAAACACTATGAAATTCCTTTTGTATATATTAACTATTTGTAATTTAGTTACATCTAGAAACCCAAAAAAATGAGTAACACCCGACAAAACCTTATATCTCAATGCACAACATAAAACATCATAAGTGGAATTCAAGCATGTCTCATTAATATCACCATTCGATATGGATTTATCTTACCTGAAGGAATTTGTAATTTTCTTGAAATCCATCCTACATAAAACATTAAAAGAAAGGAAAATTTTGACATTAAGATTATTAGTTTGCCTATAATGAAAAAATACGTTTTGTTTAATATGTAGAAAAGATGTGGAAAAACACTTACTTTGTCATCCACGTCATCACCATTTCCTTGGTGTTTGACCATTTGAAGTTTCCATTGGCCTAGGTGTCACTACACCACCAACAACTACCATAGTCAACATTAATCCAAGAATCTTCCACCATAAAGATTTAAAATTCTAATCAAGAACTAAAAACTTACAAGAGATAGATGAAGTAGTATCGGAAAAAGGCATTGGATGAATCTGCTTTGCTCGGTTCATAAATTAGGGGGCAAAACCAGAAACATTTGTTCCAATTGCCTGAGAAACACTATGAGGGAGATCAATAGCTTTCACAACCTACAAATTGCATAAAATAAAAATTAAAAGAACGTTTGAAGACTTGTGAGACATAAATAAAAAAAATGTGATCACTTAAACACAATAGACATACACGACAAAGGGAAAGGCGATTTGACAATTTGAAAAAAGCAGTGGTGAGAAAAAATTTCGTATCCGATCAGTGTTCATCCTCTCAAATCATCATGCCCTGAAACAAAAAAAAAAAATCATGGAGGCGGTGACCAAAAAAAACCCAAATACAAAAGGCGATGGGGAAGAGATGGTAGAGTGCTTATCAAAAGGATCGAGAAGCATCCGTTACAGAAGCGATAGATAGACCACCATCCATTGACAAGAACGATACTTCTTCCAAATATGTCGGTTGAAAATATGTTTTGTGCTTCCGATTGGAAGCGATGGGAGCCTATTCGAGCCGTAGCACCGTAGTAGGGTACGCAGATATAATCAGTGGCGAGGAAGCGGCCTCTGACTGGTCTGCCTTCCTATGGATTGAAGACAACACGCACACACATGACCTTTTGATTCTTTTTCCCTGTATCGATCTTTGATAAGCGGTGGGAAGCACTACAAGTGTAGTAGAAGATGGGTTGGAGGATGAAGGCGGCGAGAAATAACGTGGAGGAACCGTTTGTGTTGGTGAAAGGTTTTGAAAACGAAGGATTGCCAGAGATGTTTGAAGAAGACGTTTCAGCAAAGGCGGTGGAACGTTCTGGTTATAGTAGAAGACAATGAAACCATTGACCAGTCAAATACGAAAACCCTATTAAAAGAAAGGCAACAATGGAAAATATGCAAAGGTTGTGGATCAAATTTGCCAAAAATCAAGCAAGTTAACTGTTCCTAAGTTTCATTTCTTTTATATATATATATATATATATATATATATATATATATATATATATATATATATATATATATATATATATATATATATATATATATATATGTGTGTGTGTGTGTGTGTATATAAATAACCATATTAACTTTAAGGACATAAAATAATGACAAAATTACATAAATGTTCCATGTGGTTTTGTTCAATGTAATAGTTTAACGACGTGTTCGGCACAGAGCGTTTGAGAGCTTCTAGCTTCTAGCGTTTGACAAAACACTCCGTTTTGAACAAAAAGCCTCGTTTGGCACTACAAGCTTCTAGTATTTAGGTTAAACAAAATGTTCCAAATCAAAATGCTACTTCATGTATCGTTTAACAAAACGCTACAAGCTACAAACTTCCCGCTACTCACTACAAGCTACCTACTACGAGCTTGTTTTGCCGAACACGCCCTAAGTCTCGTCTAAATGTTTTTTTATCAACATGGTTATTATGGTTTTTAAAACTTATATGGTTGGTCTCTGAGCTGCATGAGAGGGCTTTTTCCCTTTTACATTTTTTTGTACTTTTCATTATTTAATTTGAATTTAGAAAAATAAAAAAACCAACAACCATACCGCTTAAGGCCCTAACCTTATCCTCACACGTTCTCTTCACATTGTCCCCCTTCCTCCCGTTAACTTGTGTTGCTCTTCCTCCATTTTCATGAGAAACCCACTGACGATAAACACATTTAAAACCCCTTACTATGCCTCCATTATCCAAATTGCACCTTCACCAACAACCCCCTTCTTTCCTTCCTTTCTCTTATTTCTATAATCGACAACCACTACTATCCATAAAGCCATCACCTTCCATCATGCCCTTAAAATTGGCTCCTCATTAGTGAGGCTTTTTCTTTTCCAATCATGGCTACACATTTCAATAACATATTTCCTGTGAACCAACAAATTTAAATATAGCCTCTTGACCTGCAAACACCACAAATTTACTTACACAAAAAATGGTTAATTGTACGATGGTAAATTGCATGATCTGTATGCCACATATCAACCCTCACCAAGGCCCATGTGGAATGTCAATCATTGAACACTAGCAATATTTTGGGTGTGCCAAGAGTTGACCATCGGACCTCATATGTAGAATTCTACCCCTCAACCATTAGGCTCTCATAACAGGGGTGCTAGTTTACCTATAAACACCATTTATAGAGGAAACCCATTTGGTGTTGCTATTTGTTTGGTTCAATTTTACTTTGGTATTTCAAGTTCCTTCAATATTTTTGATCAATAATTTTGTTATTCATTTTTGTCCAGATTTATCAATCGTATTTAGATGTTGATTTTATACACAAAATTAAGTTATCAAATCCATGTAGTTGATTTCAAGGTTGGATTTAAGTTATCAGTTCCATGTGGTTGATTTCATAGTTTGGTTTAATCCCTATTATATTCACCATATAATCCATTATAAGTGTTTATGAATATGTTGTTATGGCAAATGAAATGTTCAAGAACTCCATTAAAGTTCCTGTTGTAGCATCCCAAAACCATGACAAATTTTTTATTTTTAAAAGACATTTTCATAAATCCATAAGATAGACAAACATCGTTTTCAAAACAAATCCATAGAAATCAGGGTATCAAAATATTCTCTCAAGACATAAATTGATGAGACGATGTGTACGACACCTTCGTCTTACCCTGATCATCTTAAGTACTTGAAAATAATGAAATCGACAAATTGTATGCCAAAGCTTAGTGAGTTCCACCAAAATATCCCACACAATGATACATGTACAATGCATGCACACCGGGTCTACAACACAACACTAGAATGCACCCAAGTCTTTTGGCTTACAACACAAAGCAGTACCGCCTCAACTAAACTGCATTATGTTGACATATACACCAAAACAATAACAAGCTAGCACATGTAATCACCTATAAAATGGTAAAATCGAATATTTTTTTGTAACAACCCCATTTTTCAAAGGAAAATTTTTCATTTTGATTATCCAAACACGTTTCCATAAATTACAAAATCCATATATAATTGTTTTTAAACTCATTTCAATTACAACTTTTATTTAAAATATCACAGTGTCTCATAAAACGCGTGTGTGAGAGTGAACGTCGGGCCATCACGCATTGCCCTTGCCCTTGGGAGCCGATGTACCTGAAACAAATCCACAACATGTAAGCTAATTCTTAGTAAGTTCCCCAGAGCATACCCCACACACAATCCACATAACACATATCATATTATCTATAAAGCTACATATATCACATAAGTTATGCATACATAAACCTGTAAGGATGTCGTGGGCTCCCCCCAGGGTCTTACACATTCATGACATGGGCTACCCCACATGATCTTTACCTAGAAATGCCATGGGCTACCCCACATGATCTTATATCCAGCTGCCACGGTCTCCCTCGGGGTCTTTCATGCAATAACATACATAATCAACCTAGCATATCATATCACAGAAGTGTCTAACATACTACATACACATACATAAACATGTAAGGATGTTGTGGGCTCCCCCCATGGTCTTATACCATCATGTTGTGGGCTACCCCAAATGGTCTTTGAATGGGAATGCCATGGACTATGCCACATGGTCTTATATCCAACTGCCACTAGCTCCCCCGGGGGTCTTCCATGCAATGACATAAAATCACTAACATACTACTTAGCACAAGGCTAACTATCATACGACATATCTCTACAAACGTTAGTGTACCATATAACATAAAATGGGCCAACCTTGGTGCCTTAAACTTATTGGTATGGTGAGAAGACTCACCTTTCTCTCGAATGTTGAATTAACAATGCTAGAACTAGATATGTCCTACGTGCTGCTCTAACTCAACTGCATGTAAGCATCATAAGATAGACTTATCAAAAATCCTAGAATTACCCTCAAGGTCAGCCCTCGTAAACCTTGGTCAAAGTCAAAGTCAACTGTCAAAGCCAACAGTCCATGTTGACCTCAACTCGTCGAGTGCATCTAGCTACTCGCCGAGTTCCTATCGAGTCCAGACAACCTGATCAAACCCTAGCGAACTCGCCGAGTTGTTTCATCAACTCGATGAGTTCACTTGATATTCAAAAGGCGGAGAAGCCCAATCCGACTCATTGAGTTTCTAGAGAAACTCGTCGGGTCCCCCTTCTTTTTTTCTTGTTGTGATGATACACCGAATCCAGGGACTCCAGGGCTTAGATCTCAAGCCCTAAGGTGTCTAGAAGGATAAAGTTTCCAACTTTATCCTCTAGAACCGTTCCAAATGCTCTAAGCCCCTTTTCAAAGGCTGGAAAGCTCCAAAGCTTTGCCATAAGGTCCAAAACTCTAGGGAGCTAAAATCCCTCCTTTCCATAAAGGTTTCTAGTCCTCAAAACGTTCCAAAGATGGAGGCTTTATGGACATGCATGTCCAATTCATGTGCCTATGTCAAAATGGCCAAAAAGAGGGAAATATGCCCTAAACCCTTGCATGG